TTGCTCGAAGATTGTCACGTGGGAGCGAATGGCGAGATTCTTCAGCACAGAGGCGCCACGCATGTCGGCACTGTGCAAAGTAGAGCTGGCACCAAAAAGCATATGCAAAGCAGAGCGAGCTCTGGCACCTCTGGGCATGCGACACCAGAACTTGGCTTTTTGTGCAGACCTCGATTTCTGGCGCATGACGCGACAATAGCGGTGATCTTCAAGACGGTCACGGCTACCACAACGCGTTCTTGTTCGGCAGCAGTTGTATCCGCGCGGGGGTCGATACCTCAGCCGAGCTGTCAATCGCCGAAGCTGGACTTCCCGAACTTAGCAGACACCCTGGTGGGGCAGCAGTGGCGGCCAGAGGTTCTCGACCCAGGAAGGCAATCCCAATCTTGGCCGCAGCGGCAGCTGCGATGTGGACGCAGCAAGAAAAGGTAGCGCTACATGGCCTCAAGGGACACGCGACACATATTGAAGGAAACCGACTTCTACACAATCTAACGGAGGCGGATCACAACTTCCACATCCAGGCGCCGATCAAGTGGTGTAAGACACCTCGACTCAGATACACTGTCTGTGAAAGAGAAATATCACATTGAGGGTTTGCAATATGGACACGAGAGACATGCACTGGTAGGAAGGAGGCGGCAGCCAGAGCGGCACGACGTCTGACGCCAGCAATTATCAACGAGATACTTCGCGAACGTACTGCAAGGCAGAAGCCCAAGGGTCACCACTTCAGCGAAGTTGACGCCGACGGGAACATGCCTTGCACCAAATGTAAGGATACAAGACCTAGGAGACATGCCATGGGTTTCATACTGGCCTTGTGCATATACTAGTCAGCTGGCATTTCTCATCATTCTCACCATGTACGGAGTACATTGCAGCAGCGCAGCTTTGTCCAACAACTGTCCTTTGTTAAGGTAATCAATGGCCAGAGGTGCGACAGCATACAGATTTACTCTGCTTCTCTACCTCATGCACTTCAATTTCATGTTTGTCGGTGTCCCCCTGTTCGTTGCAGAAGCGTCCCGTGAGGGAGCATCTGGCCAACTGTCGGTGACGATTGAACTTGCCTCCCGCGCAGTCTCACCCCTGTTCGTTGCGGAAGCATCCCGATAAGGAGATTTTGGCGGATCGTTGGTGCGGCTATGATGGTGACGTACAGGTGGCTGCGATTACGCGTGCCTTCCGACAGGGGTGCGGCTATGATGGTGACGTGCAGGTGGCTGGACATGGAACTGGCGCGTCTACGTGCAACAGAAAGCTATGAAGAGCTATCACTGGATCCATCAGTGACTGGATGAGTACAGACTGACGGATGAGGCATGATGACAAGGATCATCGTATTTATGGCGCTGGCCTACTTTTTCTCTTTTTCAAAAGTTCTACTGCGGACCCAGACCCCCGACGTCATGATTTCTTCATGGCGTCGATCCTCCGAGGTCTCGACCCATTCCCCGGGACCAGTTTTTCGTCCTGAATCGTTTTTTTGACGGTCCCGAGGGCCGGTAAGGGCCCCCAAAGGCCAAAAATAATGAAAAACCTCCCGTCGTGATTTTTTCATAGCTCGAGGGGGTCTGGGGACGTGTCCAAGGTGAAGTACTCCACAATACAGCACACGGAACTAGGATTCAAGAAGTCCCGCCGGGGTGGCAGCGAGGTCTGGGTTGAGGCAATCTTGGACGTCGATTTGTTCCGCCACCCCACTGCGCCAGATCGGCTACTAGACGGCGCTGTCCGGCACCCCGCCGCGCAGCACATCTTAGATGCTGCTGCTGCTGCTCCGGGCGCGGTGGCGGAGGAGGGCGCGAAGTGCAAGGAGGAACGCTCGAAGACATCCGCCATCAAGTCTGCGCTGCCATGTGCCATGGAGACTTGGGGTCGCATCGGCGACAGGCTTGATGGTCTCTTCGACGAGCTGGCGGTCTTGGCAGCACGGAGGCAGAGGGGCCGCGGTATTATACCGACGCGGTGGCGGGCGAAGTGGCGCACTCTGATGAGCATCATCATCGCTGTCGCTATCGGCAGGGCCACGATTAACGCGGCGTCCAAGAGGTGAGCCGACATTTCTACCTATTGCGCTGTGCACATTTCATCTTGGTATGGTTCGAAAGAGAAAGAAAAAGAGAGAGAGAGGTAATGAGAGAGAAAGAGGTACTTAATCATACTTATATATTCATAGGGAGAGAGAGAGAGAGTGCGAAAGAGAGCGCGCGCCAATTCTCGTAATGTCTCGAAGAAAACCAATGACGGTCCTGTCCGTCAAAGTTACGGGCTGGCTCATGTGAGTCGGCAGAAGAGAAGCGGTTCCCTTCAGTCTGCCAGGGCTGCGACGAGAGCACTCCGTGCGCGGAACTGCGGGAGAGGCAGTGAAACCGGCCCCTGCGGCGGAGCTGGAGCTGGCCATCCTCCTTTCTGCGGAGCTGGGCGGCTCAGGCTCCGAACGTCTGGTGAGGAGAACGGGAACGCACACGGGGGCGACCAGCTGGGACAGGCGAGGGGCCGCGCCAAGCACAGAGCCCGCGGGGGGCACAGGCACGCCGTCGGCAGGAGAAAAACCGCTGCTGCCGAGGCGACTAGCGCTCATCGCGCAAAGTGCTGCCCGGCCCTGTGCTCCCGTAGCTGATGAAGCGTCCTGCTGGTCTGAACTGCTGAGCCGAAAACATCTGATGAACCGACGGGACACCTCAAACAGCACGTTACCAGCAAGAGGAATTCGCCGGCCCGACGGGCCAGAAGCGTGCTAAAGTCTCTGGCAAGAGTGAAATAATGCTTCGAGTTCGCGCGCGCGCGCGTGGCGGCCCCTGGGGGTCTCCAGACGAAAAACACCCCGGCAAGGTCCTGGCAAATCCCATGCAAGGTCCTGGCAAGGTCGGGCCAGAGATGCCGGAACTCCTGGGCGCGGCCTCGGGGGCCCCCCAGGCGTCCCAATGAGGCGCCAAAAAGGTGGCACGCCCCACGGCCTCAGGCCAAGAGCGTTCCAAGATGGCCCACGTCACGTTGGTCCGTCCCAAGACGGCCCAAGAAGCGCCCAAGACGCTCCAGAGAATTCCAAGAGGACTTCGAAAGGCCCCGAAGATGCAAACATCATTGATTTTGCTCGGGTTTTCGGACGACCTTGGCGGTACCGCCTTTTCGAGCTGCCGACCGCCCTGGACGGCCCAGTGGCTCCAATATCGCTCCAAGACGGCCTAAGAAGCCTCCAAGGGAGCCCCCAAATGGCCCAGGATGGCCCCCGGACGTCCCAAGAGGCCTCCACGACGGCCCCAGGATAGCCCCAAGAGGGGGCCCAGAGGGGGAACCCGACCGAACAGACATTTCGAGCTCTCGGCCCCAAGAGGCGCCCAGGAAGCCCCCAAAGGTCCCCAAGAGCCCCCCAAGAGGCCCCAAGAGGCCCCCAAGAGGCCCCCAAAGAGGCTCCCAAGACTCACAACAGGCCTCCAGGAAGTCCCAAGAAGCCCCCAAGAGACTCCTCGGAGGCTCAACTGTTCCCCAGAGGCTCCCTCCGAAAAGACCCCAAGAAGCTCCATGATGACTTTCACCCACAACCCATGTACGTCTCAAAGTTCTGCCGGAGCTCTTGAGCCGTCTTGGCGCCCTCTGGGGCAGTTTACCGGCTCTCTTCGACAGGGTGCGAGCCACATTTCCGCAGATCTCCTCGAAGACCTTCCTGACTGCCCTACCGTTCCCCCTGGGCACGAGCACACCACCACGCAGCCACAGCGATGCGGAATGGGCCGGCGGAATGAGCGAAGCAATTAAATGGTGGTAGCGCCATGTAGCGCCCATAGCTTGAACCGAGCACCCAGAGGGACCTGCCATGTCGAACTGTCCAGGAGGAGGAGCCAGCGGGATCGGACTCGGACAGCACTGCAAGGGTGAGGGTGACAAAGGTCCCAGTACTGGAAGCGCACCAGGAAGAACATGAACAGTATCGAGGGGAAGAGGCGGAAATACAAGAATCGATGGCCCACTTAATGCCAAACCGCACGGGGTAGACGAAGGCGTCGGGGACAGAAGCGAACGCGGTGGCGGAGGAGGCGGCGGAGGAATTCGACTACCCGATGGCCACCGACTGTCCATTAAGCTGGTGTGGACGTGGCTGGCCTCCCAACGGGGGAGGCCGGCGTGCTAGGCTCCTGGACCGGAGTGCAGAAGGGAAGGGAGAACAGGTACAGCCACCCCGCCTCGTCTGAAGGGGCCCTGGGACACACAAATGAATACACACACAAATAGCATGATTTTCTCATATTTTCTGGCCTTTTGTCTTCCCCCCCACTTCCCATATTTTCCCGTATTTTCTGCGGAGCCGACGATGAATTGTGCCTGTGTGTTCTTTCCCCTCCCGATCGTCCACCACAGGGTGCAGGACCCGAGGCTGGAGCTGGGAAGCGGCGGGCCGCTCGCGTGTACGGAGCCTGCCAGTGGAGGGGGGACGGAGGAGGGGGAGAGAGGGAGGGAGGGTGGCGAGGAAGAACAGCCAGCGAGAAGGGAGGGAGGGAGGGAGGGAGGGAGGGGGAGGGAGGGGGAGGGAGGGAGGGAGGGGGGGAGGGAGGGAGGGGGAGGGTGGAGAGGAAGAACAACCAGCGAGGAGGGAGGGACCGTAGATGGACAAAAGAGTGGAGCCCTTGACACCACGCCCCCCCCCTCCCCCCAATTTCAAAGTTGGCCTCAAGCGTTTGGCAGCACGGGCGTGAGAGGACAAAGAAAGCGGAACCCCCAGGGCCTCCGAGAGGCCGAACCCGACTTTGAAATTGGGGGGAGGGGGGGGGGGGGGGGGGGCGAATGCGGGGCCGCAGACGAAGGGGTTCCATTTTTCTTGGTCCCCTTACCGGAGGGAGGGGGGGAGGCTGAGGAGGGAGAGAGGGAGGGAGGGAGGGAGGAGGGAGGAGGGAGAGAGGGAGGGAGGGTGGAGAGGAAGAACAGCAAGCGAGGGAGGGAGGGAGGGAGGGGAGGGGAGGTTGGTGAGTCACGGAGAGAGAGAGCAGGCGGGGCCTCGCCTGTGAAGGCCAGGGTACGCGCTCGTGCCTCCGAGCAGCTCCGGCGGCAGTGCGGCCCCGTCGGCGCCCGAGGGCGCGGCGCCCAAGGCTTGTGCGCGGTCTCTGCCATCGTCACGGCCTCGGCCGACCCACGTCGCCGCGGATGCCAAACCAAAACAGGGCCCTCCTCCAGGAGGGGGAAAAGCAAGCCCGACCCCCTTCGCGTCTTGAGAGGCAAAACGCGCATCACGACAACTCTCTGCAAGGCTGGGCATCTGGAGGCCTGTTGCAAGCCCCGGGCCGAACAACAACAACAACAACAACAACAACAACAACAACAACAACAACAACAACAGCAGCAACAACAACAACACCACCAACTACAACACCAACTACAACACCACCACCAACAACAACAACAACCACAACAACAGCAGCAACAACAACACCACCAACTACAACACCAACTACAACACCACCACCAACAACAACAGCAACAACAACCACAACAACAACAACACCACCACCAACAACAACACCAACAACACCACCAACAACAACAACAACAGCAACAACAACAGCAACAATCACTTGACCCGAACGCTCAGTGTTCTCACCAGTGCCAGGGTTTTCATGCGACGCCAGCCAATACCCCCACTTTGTGGGGGGGCAGTGCAAGCTCTACCAAATATCCACACGACTCTTCGCCACCACCCACACCCAGCTTCCCGCCCTATGACGTTCGGACACTTCACTTCGTGGCCTGCGGACGACCGTGGCTACTACACTGGCGTGGAGTACACACCCACAGAAGTTGTTAGGACAGCGCGCGCGGGTAGAAATTTTGAAAAGTCGTGCAGGTGTTTTTCGAGGACCTACGGTGCGATTCGTGTGATTTTATGATGCGCGGTGCTAAAATTCTTAAGAAACCCAATGGTTTTTGGAGATTTCGGCGTGCGCGCGCGAAGAAAAAACGAATGTGTCCCGCATGGTATTATTTGACAGGGATGATGGCCCTGGCAGGTGCGCAACCGTTGTCGCAGAAGTTCGAAAAAGTTGCTCGCAAAAGCCCGTTTGACAGAAATGTTTAAAAAGTGTTGGGTTTCCTACGAATCCGCAAGAGCGCGCGGGATGAGATTTTGACATTTTTTTGTTGAAAAACCATTGGTTTTTTGATGTTTTTATGTTAAAATCGCTCCGAACACTAAGCTTTTGGAAGGATTTCGTCTTGCGCGCGCGAATGTCCACTTTACCTTATTTTTTGCAAGGGATTCTTGAAATTTGATTATATTAGAACAAGAAATGTCATTTTATAGTGTTTTTTGCAAGGGAAAACGGATTACAACAAAACAACCGGATCTTGATGACATCGTATTACCTGAGGCTTCCTCACGAAAATGATGAAAATGTAGCTGCGGCCTAGGCGGCGCAGGGGGGCCGTGCACCAGGGGTCCCAACAATAATTATTCTTTAGAATTAATAATGTTCAAAAGCAACAGCAACAACAACAACAACAGCAACAACACCACCAACAACAAATACAACAACAGCAACACAGACAACAAATTCAACAACAGCAGCAACAACAGCGTCAATAACAACAACAATGAGAACAGCAACAACAACAGCAACACCAACAACAAACACAGCATCAACAACAGCAGCAACAACCGCTTTAAGACTGTTCGCTCCTATCTGCTCATGCGCCAACCAATACGTATACCTCAAACCCTCCGTACCAACCCTCGTCGTCTTCGATCGTACCCCCTTGGGGGTATATCTTCCTTACCTGCCACGTGCACGTAGTGCAGCCTCAAAAACTAGAGAAGAGAAAACGGGTGGAAGAGGGAAGGAGAATAATGGAGCACGTGAGAAATTAGCCGGAGGGGGGCACGGAGCAGAAAACAAGAGGCCAACCAGACGGGCAGATCGGGTGGGCAGACCCATAGTGGGCAGGTCGGGAAGGCGGGCCCAGGCGACCAGGCCGAGCAGGCGGGTTGCTGGAGCGTGGGTCCTGCATGAATCGCGAGGAAATGAGCGGCAACGCAATTCCTGAGTAAGTCGTGAGAGAAGCCAAAACGAGAGCGTGATTCCTGAGCGCAGAGGGCGCATCGTCTGAATAAACTGCGAGGAAATCCCACGCGAGAGCGCGATTTGTCTACAAATTGTAAGGAAGTCCCGCGCGAGAGCGCGATTTGGGAACAATTTGAGGAAGTCTCAAGCGGGAGCCGTTGTTGTTGAATTCTCATTTATGAAACATAATTATTGTTGACCCCCCCCCACCGGTGCATACTGTTTTTTCTCAATCAAAGTGTGCCCCTCGACGCTCGCACCCTGTTTTTTTTTGTTGAGGAAAATCTTGATGCTCAAACTGGGCCCTCGGCCCCTGGGTTACAACAACAACGGCTCCCGTCTGAGACTTCCTTACAATTTAACCAGGACCCCCGCTCCCGCCCGAGACTTCCTCGCATGTTTCAGGAATCGCGCTCTCGCTTGGGACTTCCTTACAATCTATTCAGGACTCGCTCTCCCGGCGCTCTGGAGTCGCGCTCTCGCTGGAGACTTGCCTGCAACTTACTGAAGAATGGCCTTGGAATTTCCTGCAATTTGCCTGAGCGCTGCGCTCCCGACACCCAGGCGCGCAGGAATCGCGCCCGTTGTGGCCCCATGTGCGTGCCCTTCGTGGCCCCGCTGTCGCCATTTGTGTCCCCTCACTGTCCTACGTGGCCCAGTTGCTACCCTCAGTGGCCCCATAGTTGCTTTCTGTGGCCCCGCATTATCTGCACTTCGTGGCCCCCGCTCGTTCGCGCTCTTCGTGGCCTCATACGCATTCCCTTCGTGTCCCCGCTGTCGCCCTTCGTGGCCTACTTCGTGCCCTTCGTGGCCCTGCTGTCGTTCTCTCTCGCTCTCGCTTTCGCTCGTCGTCGCCGTCGTCGTCGTCGTCGCCGTCGTCTTCGACGTCGTCGTCGTCGTCGTCGTCGTCGTGGTCGGTCCCCTGTCCGTCCCTCTTGGGGTCGGGTCGACGGTCCGCGGCCGCCCCGCCGATCAGCGATGCCGCTGGCCAAGCCGACGGTCCGCGGCCGCCCCGCCGCTTGCCGGGGCCCGGCCTGCAGGGAAGAAAAGTATACCTCCCAAAAGGGGGTACGATCGAAGACGAAGAGGGCGGGTATCGAGGGTTTGGGAAATACGCGTTATTGGACACTCGAGCATATAAGGGCGAACAGTCTTAAAAATTGTGTTGTTGTTGCTGTTGCTGTTGCTGTTGTTGTTGTTGTTGTTGTTGTTGTCGCTGTTGTTGTTGTTGTTGAACTCTCATTTCTAAGAATAATTATTGTTGATCCCCCCGTCCGGTGCGCATTGTTTCCTTTCAATGTGAAGTGTCCTTCCTGGGGCTCGCACCCTGTTTTTTCGAATCAGGGAAAGTCTTGAGGGTCAAACTGTGTTGTTGCCCCCGGTTTACAACAACAACAACAACAATCATTTTACCCGAACGCTCAGTGTTCTCCCCAGTGCCAGGGTTTTCTTGCGACACCAGCCAATACCCCCACTTCGTGGGGGGGCCGTTCAAGCTCTACCAAATATCCAAACGACTCTTCGAGACCACCCACACCCAGCTTCCCGCCCTATGACGTTGGGACACTTCACTTCGTGGCGTGCGGACGACCCTGGCTACTACACTGGCGTGGGGTACACACCCACAGAGGTTGATCACATCTGTTACATATGATGTGGTACACGGTACACGTGAGATGGTACGCAGTGCCAAGATAGTTGGTCACATTTTTGGGGCAAATTCGTGGGGATGCGATTACAGAAGTACATGTGTTACACTGATGTTATACAGTCCCAAGGATGACGCATGCATTGCTCATAGACTCATGGCGCTATGATCCTAACTCTCAGTGCCCAACGCGCGCGTGCACAGCCAGACGGAGGGAGACGCACCTGCATATTCCGGTAATGGAGGTCAAGGCCCAGGTCGGAGACCTCCTCTCGATACCGCTTGCCGCATGCCGCCTCTACAGCATCCCCCGTCAGCAGCTTTATACAAACCACATCTGTGGAGGAAGAAGCTGCCGTGGCCTGCTGCTTCGATACGGGCTCCTCCCAGTCGACCGCGGCAGGCCGTTTGGCCACGCGGGCAGCTCCGGCGGCGGCTGGCCGTTTCAATACCCCGCCTGCGACCTGTGCCGCCGGGCGCTTCAATACACGCTTGGTGACGGCCTGGGCGGATGAAGCCGCCGCCTGCACTGAAGCGCCCACCGACGCATACACATCGCACCACTTTCTCAACACTGAGCGGGACACCAAGACAGCTTTCCGTCGCATACGCAACACGGTATGCAACGTGTGGTACTTCAGCCCTGGATATACAGCGCGCATGTGGTCACCAAGTGCCGCGTTGAGCTTTTCGGCCGTGTCATACTGCAAAGGTCCAGAGTCAGGGTGATACTTCACGTACCATTGCCTCAAAACCATACCGCTGACAGCGACGGGAGGATCGCTCTCCGAGAGAAGCTGCGAGAGGACCTCCGCAGCGGCCTCGTCGGCGAAGCTCTCCCGATACTGATTGAGTCGAAGACGCTCGCCCATACATTCCTCCACAGCTTGGGCAGTGTTCAATGCCCCCTTGGCGCCCCACTCCGTGCTGAGCCACTTCTGGCATACCCTGGCGTTAGCAGATACAGATAAATGTCCCAGGAGCCACTGCTTCAAGACGGCCCCGTCAGTGGTCCCCTCGGGCATGTCTTTGCGAATACGTTCTCCATACCAGGTCTCCAAGTGGCCAGCGTTCTGCACTTGGACAAGCGTGTCTTTGGATGAATACTGCAGTAGCCACGCCGTTGCGACCCTATCTGGCACATACAGTGGTGGATCCAACTGTCGGAGCGCCCGGCATAATTTGAAAGCGGTATTATACTCAATGCCCAGGTGGCGGATGGCAGAGCCGTGCTGCTCCTCCAGCTCCTTGGCGCTAGAAATACTGACCGTGCCAGTCACAACCCGATACTTGGCCCACCAAGTCTTGCACGCCTGGTGACTAGCATTGATACCCTTTGCCCGGAGCGCCTGATGCAAATAATACGCACTCTCGCAGTCGGCCAAGGGAGGCCGCGACAGCTCAGGGCCATACTGCTC